ACACAACGACGACACAACGACGACACAACGATGACACAACGATGACATAACGACGACACAACGATGACCCAACGACGACACAATGACGACACAACGATGACACAACGATGACACAGCGATGACACAACGATGACACAACGATGACACAACGACGACACAACGACGACACAACGACGACACAACGATGACACAACGCCGCCCCCCCAACAAAATCATCTCAAACCACTGGTGACCCGTCCTAAAGGAGAATTAGCCACGGCTGTAACAGCAACATGGAGAGTAGAAATACGTTTCTGATGCTGTCAACAAAATTTTATCTGTTGCTGTGACTTTAACTTTTTTGAAATATTCAACCTCTTGTGCCATTTTTTTCCTCATAGAAAATGAACTGAGCTCATTTTCCATCCTTCGGCTCTTTAGATCTGTTTACAACCTTTTACTGCTCCTTTCACATTTTGTTCTGTTCAGCTTCCTTGTGCAAACTGAAACTTTTTTCAGCTACTTTCAGTTTTTTTTTTTTCAGCTGTTTTGTGCTCATTTCAGATTCTAACTACAACATTTTTGTGCTTCTTCTTCTTTCTGCTAATTTCAGCTTGTTATGCTCCTTTCAGCCTATTTATCCAAGTTTCAGCCCTTTCTGCTATTTCAGCTACTATTTAGTTGTTTTGTGTTAATTTTAGTTTTTCATCTAATTCCACATTATTTGCACTCATTTCAACTTTTTTCACCCTAATTCAGCAAAAACGCTCTCTCTCCACTTCCTTATGGTAATTTAAGATTATTTCTGGTTCTTTAGCTACTTTTCAGCAGATTTTGGCAAATTTCTGCTTTTTTCAGATAATTTCCACTTCTTTACACTCATTTCAGCTTCTTTAAGCCTAATTGGGCAAACAAAGATTCAAGGTTCTTTATCGTCATTCACACCACATGTGGTACATGTGGTGGAATGAAATCATGTACACCGGGTCCCAGTTACATCCAGCAATAAAATGTAAAAGAAAAACAGTAATAAGATCTAAGATATGAACTAAAATAAACATCAACTAAAAGTACACTAAGCACAAATAGTATAAAAACAATACGCCGAACAGCAGCACGAACATGAGTCTGTGTGAGCAGATGAGCACGAATGAACACAGCAGCAGACAAATCAGCAGCAACAGTGTTCTTTCTGCTTTATTCTGCTAATTTAAGCTTGTTCTACCTTTACAGCCACACTTATTGCATTTTTTAAAAGCTAATTTCAGCTGTTTTCAGATAAATTAAAAAATTCGTGGTAATTTCTGCTTCTTTCAGCCTAATTAACTTTATGCTAATTTCAGCTTGTTATGCTCCTTTCAGCTTATTTTTTGCTAGTTTCAGTTATTTCTGCTACTATTTAGCTGTTTTTATGCTAATTTTAGTTTTTTTCAGCTAATTCCACATTGTTTTGCTCATTTCAGCCGTTTCTGCTTCCTTCTGGTATTTTAAGCTTCTTTCTGCCTTTTCAGCTACTTTTTAGTTTTTTTTCCCCCACTAATTTCAGCCTTTTTAGCAAATTTCCTAATTTTTGTGCTAATTTCTATTCATACCTGATTCAGCAAATATGTGTTCTTTCTGCGTTTTTTCTTCTTCTGGTAATTTAGGCTTGTTCTTCCATTTCAGCTACATTTCAGCACATTTTTCAGCTAATTTCAGTTGTTTGTCAGCAAATTCTTCTACGGTAAGCATTCACACTGCATTTTCGCAGGAAATTAAATTTTTCTAGTTTTAGCTATTGTTATTCATATTTTACCTTCAGTCTAATTGTAGCACCTGTTTTGTAGCTTTTGCAATTCATTTAGCAAACGTTAGCTGCTGTATTAATTTTAGCATCTTTTAAGCTATTTTACATTTTGCTTGTTCAGTTACTTTAGGCCACAATTTAACACATTTTAGCTATAGCATTTTATTTTCTGATTTCAGCTGCTGTTTTGTTAAATTTAACATCTGTGTTAACGATTTGTTCTGTTAATTTTAGCTACTGATTAGTTCATTTTAGCACCAGTTTGGATAATTTTTTACATGTTTTGCTAATTACAGCTATTGTCTTGCTAATTTTAGCTTATGACTGATAATTTGTTTGTTTGAATATTAAATTTTTTGTCCACTTTGGCAGATTTTTCTTCAGCATGGTTAAAGTGTTTGAACCAGTGGGTTTGGTTTGGTTGTGGACTCTGGATGATGAAAGGGCTGAAGCTGATGGTTCTGCTGAGCCGAGAGAAACCAAAGCTTGTTTATGTGCTGAACACTGAGCTCAGCGGATCAGAACCTTTGTGGTGCTGTTTGTTTGGACTCTGGGCTTGTCAGGGTCGCTCCCAACTCCTTAATACAACTGTGAAAAACATAAAGTGACAGCATTTCAGAAAGCTAAAGTTAGTTTTAATACGATTCAGCCTTTAATATAAAATACATAAAAATATATAATTTTAACCAGAGATAAAATAAAATGTGCTTTGTACTTTCTAACTGGCTAATTTTAGGTCACTGACATGGTAAATACTTCAAAGAAACATATAAAGGTACCAAGTAAATCACCTATTGAACGATTTTTAAAAAAATACTCCAATTTTTTTTAAACCATTTTAAAACACATAATTAAAAAAATGTGATTTTAATATGTTTATGACTGACAAAACTTTCACTTAAAACACGTAAAAAAAAGTTTTTGACTACCGGTACTTGTATTTTACGTAGATTTGTTGAACACTCAGGACTGTAAACCTGAGAAAATGTGAGATTAATATTAAAAACACAGAGAGGGCAGTGGTTTATGAAAAGAAGGACTCAGAGGACTGACAATAATATAAATACATAAATAATTATAAATACTGACAGTAGACTTTAAACTGAAACCAGAAGATTGAGACGATCGGTGGGAACTGCTCCAGTTTCCTGCTGAGGTTTCCTTTTTGCAGCTAGGGGGTGTTTGTTGTCTGTCTCACCACTACTCCGTGTGTGTGCATGTCTCACCACTACTCTCTGTGTGTGTGTATCCGTGTGCATGTCTCACCACCCTCTCCGGGCTCTCCTGCTCGTCTGTGGAGCTGCTGTGTTGGGGGTTACGCTGTGAGGTGGAGGGGGGTCTGGCAGAGGGGGGCGGCCTCCTCCTGTGTTTTACCTGATACAGAACAGAAGGTGAGACGGGTCAACGCTCAGGTTGTCAGAGTTGTATCTTTTTAACTCGGCTGATCAGACTGATCTGCAGCAGCAGACTCCTCGGAGAGAAAATGGACAGGAGCTGTGGAGTGAATATTTACAGCTCAATTGAACTAAAACATGTTGGACATTTCAGCTCCTCCACTGATCCGGCACAGAGACACGTCAGAAAATTTGTTCAGGGCCAGAACTTGTCAGAGGAGACTCTGCAGGTGTCAGTAACACTAATCATTTTAATTATAATTATAATGATAATAACAAGGGAAATAGCACGTTCTACAAAAATGCTGTATGAACTCTGAGTGCTGGATGACTGGACACTGAGTTTTGCTGAAGAAGCTGAAATTCAGTTGATAGAGCTAAAAGAAGCAGAACACTAAAGTCACAGTTTGTAAAGGTTGGACCCATGAGTACAGACAGACACAAAGACCTAAAAATAAATAAAAAACTTTAACTTTATAAAAAATAAAATATGTGTGGCTGCAAAACACTTCAATGCTAGACTGACGATGAAGTGAGAACTGAGGGCATGAAAAGGCTGGGACTGATGAGATGAGTGGCTGCAGCTGAGACTAATGAGAATGGGGAACAGGTGTGGATGGGTGAGCAGGAGCAGAAACATTACAGAGGAAGAATGAAGTGATGAACAGAACACAAATAATGATCAAATGAAAACAAAAGGATCAGAACCAAACACAAGAATCACAAAACAAAGATGACAACAAACGAGGAATAAAACCCAACTATACGAAAACAAAGTACCCAAAATATTTAAAAACACAACACAAATTGCTAGCTATGAGCCACATGTAGCAAAAAGTTAGCTAAACGTTCAACTTTCCAGTATTGTAGCTAAAAGTAGCCAACAGCTAACTTAAAGCTAAAAGCACCAAAAGCTTGGCCCAATTTTTCTGTAGCAAAAAGTTAGCTAAAAAAGGTAAACAGTGCTAAAACGATAGATAAAAAGTAAAAGCAGAAAAAGGCAAGCTAAATCTAAAATTAACAAATGCTAGCTAAAATCAAAATGGAGCAATAGGTAGCTAAAGCTTGAAGCTAAAGTTAAAAAAGGCAAGCTAAAAGTTAAACATAACAAAAAACACTAGCTGAAAACATTAAAAGATTAGCTACAAACTACAAATAGCAAATGGATAGCTAAGTGTAGCAAAGAGCTAGCTTAGAGCCAAAAGTGGGAAAAAAAAATCTAGCTAAAACATTAAATGCAGCAAGAAGTTAGGTAAAAGTTAAAGGTTTCCAAACGATAGCTAGTAGCCAAAAGTCAAAAGGAGCAAGCAGCAACCCACTAGCTAAAAGTGTACATGTACATGTGATGCTAATGACAATAAAGACACTTGAACTTGAAATAACACCAAACAGCATCAAACTAAAGTAGCTAAAGGTCTATCAAAGGTCTAGCTGTAGAAATGAATCCTGTGAGAATAACTTCAGAGCTTGAGGCAGTTTTTATTTATTTCTCCGTTCACACTGCAGCAATCTTCCACTGCATGTGGGTTTGAGCCTCAGTGGGATAAAAAAATGCAAACAGCATTTTGAAAATGTCTTTTGTCTCATCGTGTGTGATGTTTGCAGGCACCGCTCCTTGAGCCTGTTGTTGTTGTTGTTTGCAGCTGGACACAGTTTGTTTTCACCTCACGCTGCCTCTCCGGGAGGAAACGTCACGCTGCAGTCGCCCTCACCTCCTTCCACTGTTTGTTTCGCGAACCCTCGCACAGTGAATCTTATAAAAACATTTTGTTCCCACACTTCACCCCGTGACCTGCAACAACACGTTTCCTCTTCCGATGAGGAGCTCCATAACTTATAAAGAAGACGCTTCTGTTCTTTTCAAACTTTTCTTCTTTCTACTTCATTCTTACAAACAGCAGTGATACCAATTAAATGTGAACGCATTAATAGTAGTCCCCCCCCAACTCCCCCAGGTAATGATTCAAGCTGCTAAACCGACCCCCCTATTATTTGAGTAAATTATGTTTCTGGTTTTTATTTTGCTTAAAAGTATAGTTTCCTTAAATGATTGATGTGGCCCTTGGGGTGGCTGAAAATTAATCTATGGTGGCCAGGGCCCCCATTGTCCACCCCCTGGTTCCTCCATTGCACCTCTTGAAAGGTGAAAAACTACAAAATTGAACTTTAGATTTTATTGAAGTTTCTTTTATTTTATAAAATTTACTTCTTTTTCCAAGCAGTCAGGGTCAGTCCACTCTTCAGCCTGAGGCCAGAGCGGTTATTGAACGATTAGTTTAAAAGAAATATATGTAAATGCTTTGCTTGCATGTATGGTAATACACCTGAAGACACGATTTGTTGAGTGAAGGAAACCAGCGTAGTTGCCACTTAAAGGTCATTTAGATATATATACTTTGGACCTTTGCTAGGGGCGTGGTGGCGCAGAGCATCTGACGCCTAAAGAAGGTTTTTACAAAGTGAACCCTGCTGCCAGAAGAATTTGGAGCTCGGCTGATTTGCACGTTTGCAGAAAAATGAAAAGCTGCGTTTACTCACAGCTTGATCTCTGGTTTGGCTGAAAACATGGCTGTCCTCTTGGTCTATGTCAGAGTCTGAAACAGAAGAAAACAGCTCAGTTTATTAAAGGAACCCACTACATTAGCGTCTAACCCCCAACCCTGACATGTGATCAAAACATTGCATGAATGTGTAACAGCATGAGCTGCAGCAACAGAGCTGCTCATGTCAGGTTTAAGCATGTGGAGTTAGGGGATCTAAAATAGTGTCACAGCCGTCAGCTCAAAGCCTCTGGCGGTCTTGACATTCTTTCCGTAGCCTGAATCATTTCTCTGCTTCAACTACTTGAACCTGAGCCATCAGCATACCTTCACCTCCAGCCACCGGCCCAACAAGCCGAAGCAGCTCAAATCAAACTCCAGAAGGAGTTACAATCCGTAATATAGTTTTTATTTAGTTCGTTGGTTTGTCTCATTCAATTCAAAAATACTTTATTAATCCCAAAGGGAAATTATTTGTTGTTGTAGCTCATCTTGGTTTCATTAGAGTTGTTATAGATGCTGACGGCTGTGGGCAAGAAGAATCTCTTGTAGCAGTCCGTCCCACAGTGGATCTGAAGAAACTGTCTGCAGATGCCGATCCATCCACCCAGACCCAGCAGGCCTCTCGGTCCTCCTGGGCAGCCTGAATGCCGGGCAGAACTCCTCCCTGAGTGGTGACCATTCCTCCCAGCGCCTGCCGAGCCCCTCGTCGTCACGGACAAAACTGCAGGTGCCAGGGGACGATCTCAGTCCTCCCGCTGTCACGAGCTGCGTTTCCTGCTACTTCCAAGATCTTGGCGGTCAGGCACTCGAGCACTGCCTGTAGGTAGACGGGAATGCACCCACGGCACCTCCTTTTCAACTCATTAGGGATTTGGGGCTGTAGTTGAGGTAGTATTTGAGCTTTTGAGATGTTAATCAGCAGCTCCCAGTTATAGAAAACCACCTTGTTGTTATGGTTACGCATCATAACAAATGTCCAAAAGTAGAAGAGGTTTCAGTAAAAATCCTTCCAGCTGCGCAGCGTCTGATACCAGAGGAAATAATCATCCGGAGTAAGTGAATTACATCCAGAAAAAAAGAGTAATTAAAATTTTTAAAAGCAAAAATCTCAGAATAAATATAAGAAAGCTACTCCAACGCGCAGCCATCTTGAGTGGCACAATAAAAAGTGATGTTTAGTTTTTGTTCCCCTGTGTTCCTCTGGGCCGTCAGCCACTTGTCCCAGTACTTTTCCACAGTCAGTCTCTGCTCCTCGATCCTACCTCGCACACCTCACCTGTTCCCCATCCCCATTAGTCACAGCTGCGGTCACCTCTCTCATCAGCACCAGCCTTTTGATTCCCTCTGCTTCGCTCTACTCATCAGCTGGGCAGTGCTGGTTCTCGTGCCACGGACAAGCGATGACCTTTAAGTCTTTGAGCCTCCTCCGCCTCAGTTGTATGCGCTGCCTCGTCAGTCTTTTGTTTTAGACAAAGATAAAGTTTAATTTTTGAGCTCGTTGTGTCAGTTTGCATTCTGTGTTTAACCTTTAGTAAACTGACAGTAAAACTGCCCTTCGCCTCAGATAGCTTGTACATTCAACCAGAAAGGCGAACAAATTCTTCCTATAAAACGTGGTCATTTCTAACAAAAACGGGTCTCGCCTTCTTCACCGTTCGTTGGTTCCAAAATTCTGACAAGGATTGGCTGCTTGCCATTTATCGTACTGGCTGCACTGGTAATAAGACAGAGAATTTCAAATCCCTTTGTTGTCATTCGCATCACATGTGGTACATGAGGTGGAACGAAATTGTGTACTCGGTCTCAGCTACACCCGAAAATAGCAAAAATATAAAGTATACAAAGATATACACTAAGATATATGCTAAATGAACTATAACATTTCTATTGTGCATTTAGAGGTTACCAAGAGACAAGTAGGAGGTTACAATGTCACAAACAATCTAGTCTTGCAGGTCCTGCAGATTGAAGTTGTGCTCAGGTCAAAGAAATGTATCTTGTATACAACTATACCCAGATACTTACAGTAGCGCAAACTATGTAATGCATAAATAAATAAAAATATTATTAATATTGAGGTAAGAAGATCATACAGTGCAGGTATGCTGATTCCTGTACATTCGATTAATGGATTCTGATGCGTTGTGCTTCACTGCATGTTTCTGTAGATTTGTTGTCAATATGTGCACTTTAAATAGATAAAATCCATGAAAATAAGTATTTTAAAGGCTGAGTTTTGTAATTAAATGTGAGACTTTCCTGAATGTTGGAAGCTGCAGGTCAACTTGCCATCAGCAGCTCGGATCTATGATCCTCGTTTGGGAATCATTTGGAGTCAGTCCTGCCTGCTTTTCAGATTTGGCTCAGATGTGTGTGTGCGTGTGTGTATATGTGTGTGTGCGTGGGTGTGTGTGTGTGTGTGTGTGTGTGTGTGTGTGTGGGTGGGGGGTGTCAGGATGGATGCTTGTTTGAGAGGGCTAAAGGTATCAGGTGCCCTGCAGGTTAGAGGAACACGCAACTCCCCCATCCATGCTGTAGTGTCATGGGACTGCAGAGTTGTTTCATGAAGACTTTGCAGTGGCAGGAAAGTACAGGATTTATTTTTAAAGCGTTATTTTGATAAATAAATAAATAAACAATCACAACGGTTAAAAAAAAAGAAGAAGAGGTGTCATCATTCAGAAATGCTGTTTCAGTTTTAAACTGTGAAAGCAAAAGTGCAGAGAAATCCAAATCTCTTCTTGTCTCTGTATGTTTGCACCTGACAGCAGCTTCAGACTGCAGCTCTGTGTGGCAGACAGGCAGACAGACAGACAGACAGACAGACAGACAGACAGACAGACAGCAGCAGGTGGAGGAGGAGGCGGTGGCACTCCCAGGGTGGAGCTGAGGAATGCCAGGATGGCAGAGTAGGAGGTGAAGGTTTGAAATGCCTCACGTCCCGATCTAATATAGATCACATCTGCAGGCCTCCACACGCCTGGTGGCTGCTTGAACAGCTTCGACCTTTGACCTTCTGCAGGTGCACGTCTGAGCGCTGGCGAGTTCTTTTGCCCTCGATTTAGACATGAATGTCCGTCAGTAAGACAAAAAACCCTCCTTCTATTTCCCCCTCCTCTGATGATTGATTACAAATAGTCTTCAAAAGAATGAAAGTGTTTGTAACGAGTGCTTTAATCCAAAATAATCCCTAATTTAAGATCTAGAATATCCTTGAAGGAATGCATATCGCCCACCGTCATTCATGTAACAGACTGAAACCAACTTTACCGGTAGCTATTTTGGTCAAATCTTATTATACGTCTCACAATATCTGTTGTTGCTTGGAGTATTTGTTGGGAATGACTCTCAGCTACTACCACACCAACATTTCTACTCAACATCTGTAAAACTGACTGAGCTGGAGCCGTCTTTGTGTTGGCTAAAGTTGCTAAACTGTGGCGGCCATCTTGTACAGGACTGGTTTGAAGTTAACAAAAAAAACAAAAAAACAACTGGCAAACTTGAATTATTGAAGTTGTTTTCAATACAAAATAATAATAATAATAATATTAATAATGATAAAATCAAAAGACACTTTACAGAGTTAATCAAACTACGACCCCCCCCCCCCCCAAAAAAAAAAAAAAAAAAGTAAAAGAAAAGAAGGTTAAGACCTAAAACTAAATAAAACAACAGTAATGAGCAACACAGTCAGCACAGGGGAGAAATGTTAAGTTGGTTTCTGTGAATAAGTAACATTTAAGTAGTTTTCTGAATTTCTACAGATGAAGTGTTACAAATGTCCGAGGCGAGAGCATTCCAGAGAGTTGGGACTGCAGCTCTGAATGCTCTGTCACCAAGAGTTTATAATCTGGAGGGACTGGGAGCATGATTCCTGCACCAGAAGACCTCAGGTCCTGGGATGCAGCATAGGGGTGAAGAAGACCAGTGCGGTACTGGAGAGCTCGGCCTCATGTCTCAGCTTAGTTTGTAGAAAGAATCTGAGATCTAACTGGAAGCCAGTGAAGCTGAATGAGAGGTGGACTGGTGTGTTGCCAAGGTTTGGTATGGGCCAGAACCATGGCAGCAGAGTTTCTGACAGACTGAAGTCCATCCAGAACTTTATTAGATATCCCCAACAAGACTCCTTGCAGTGATCCAAGTTGGATGGTGTGGAAGGCCTGGGGTTTCTGCCACAAAGACTGGGAGTGCTGGCTGGACTGGAGTCTCATGATGTTTTTCAGGTGTTAAAAACTGACTTTGTGTTAGTCAAAGGAGACAGTGGAGTCCAGAATAAGACCAAGGCTCAAAGCTCAGAGGATGCAGGAAATCATCTGTTTGCACAAATAAAACAAATACATCATGCTTTGTAATAAAGCTTATAATAATAATAATAATAATAATAATAATAATAATAATAATAAAGCTGATTCTGATTTGGCTTTTAGCATGTGTTGTAGGCTGTCAGTCGTGCAGGGCGTGGTCATCACAGCAGGTTGCTTCAGAGGCAGCCAGAGTTCTCCTTTGATCCTTGAAAAAGCTTTGCTCATCACCTCAATTCGAAGCTGTTTTGGAAGCTATTTAAAAGGAATATTTAAAGTATAATTTACAGTTAAAGCTGTAAACCAGGATAGTTTGGATGAGTAATGTCTCTGTAGTTTCTGACAGCCTCGCTGAGCATCCATCCCGAGCCTCATCAAAGTGAACCTTAAACAAATGTAAGGTCAAAAACATCCAAAAAAACTATCGTGAAACTCAATCAAGCGAGCACAAATACATCTTTCTACCGACTCGTTTCTTAAACCTGAATTTTCCTCGAAGTATAAAATGTTTCAAATCCTAATACTATTCAGGCCCGAGGCAGCTAAAGTTAAAAAATAAAAAGATAAAAAGAAATTCTCCCGTCTCTCTGCCTGACTCACTGCTCCTGAGAGTCTGAAGATGGAGCCGAAGACGGCGTTCGTGCCGTCAGACTCTGCAGTTTGTCAAACAGCAGCTGGATTAACTTGTCACCAGTAGATTTGTTAATGTGGACAAGTTTATTAAGGAAGTCTTAGAGCAGAGAAGAC